ATTTTGAAGCGTTTTTAACGATTTGTGGAAATGTATAATTACTTTGAAAAGAAAGTAATTTGTATAAATAATTTTGAAAACTGAGATTGTTGACTTCTTTGGATTTTTACCAAGAGACACCACTTGTTTTCAAAAAAGTTTTAACTAGCTCAATCTATACACTTTAAGGAATAGTATAGGAATGATTTTTTGTTGTAAAATTACAAATAAAGTATCAAAATTTGCTTTTAAATCGAAGCATGCTTTAATTTTCAGTATGTCTAAATAAATATGACTATGGCTGTATTTCTTAAATAGTAACTATTACAGTTCAATTTCAGGGACTGTAAATAACTGTTATTCTGAAATTTCTAACTCAAAAAATCTCAACGTAGACCTATACTATTATATACCAATATACTCTTATTGATATGCTTTTTCAGAATATATGGTGATTAAACAAAAACGATCTTAGCTCCACAAACAACAGTTATTTTTTAACGGAAAAATAAAAGTCTGATTGAAACAGTTAAAAAATGATTTTTATTTTTCCGCCATAAAATAAGAATTATTTGAGGAGTTTTATTTTTTCCATCAGAAAATTAAACTCATTTGGGGAGTTTTGTTTTCCCCGTCAAAAAATCAAACAATGTTTTTATATATTTTTTCAGTCTCTTATTTTATTGAGTTTATCTGACCAAGTCCATTAAATAGTTGATTTGAACTGACGTGGAAAACATCTGAATCAAAAATGGCAAATGGTAATTTTCTGTTATGAGTGAACACAAGCTTTTTTAATTTCTTCGGAAGGCATTATTATTGAAAATGAGTTTTATTTTCTGACGGAAAAAATGAAACTCCTCAAATAATTCTTATTTTATGACGGAAAAATAAAACTCTTTTTTTAAAAGTTTAATTTGTATTTTTATTTTTAGGTTGAAAAATAACTTTTTCAGATGGATTTTTATTTTTAAAATCACAAAATAACTGTTATAAATAAACTTTTTTGATATAACTTATAACTGTTACGGTCCCTGTTCAATTTTTATTTTTTTCTTATCCATAACTATATGATTTCAATTTTTATTTTTTTCATTGTTTGATAGCAGTTATAGACAACGAAAAAAAATATTTCTTATACATAACTATTATATTTCAATAAATATTTTATTCGTCTTTTTATATTACTTATTGACAAAGCTTGGAAAGAATGAACTCTATTTGGAATTAATTCCCTTATATTTTTAATTCGGCTTTAAATTTTTAAATGTACCATTCTTTAAAATCATTCTTTGAATTTAAATTCTAATGCTGAATTCCTTAGCTTTATTTATATAAAAAAAATAATTCATATATTTAATATACAGAATGCTTTTGAATTATAAAACAAAACTTTCATTCAATCTATTTCAAATTGAATGGTTGAAAATTTTTTAAATTCAATTTATAATAGATTGAATTCAAACAAAATTTATATCTAAAAATTGATTTCGGGATTTTTATTATTTTTTCAAATAAGTTAAAGAGTTTCTTATCGTGCTTTCAACCCCAATTATTAAATAAATTCACTGTAATGTATTGATGGTGGGGAAGCTAGTTCCTATGCGCATTTCGCCGGTTGCTTAAGCCAGCTCATCAGGAAACCTTTCCCAATATTTTAGGAAAACTCGAAATGTCTTATGAAAGAATTATTTTAAACTCAATAAGAATTCAAAACGCATCTTTCACAAAACATTAAAGTTTTGACGAAACACCAACAATAACAGTGAGTTTATTTTTTCTTACATTCCTTTCTACACTTGGCTGGTTGTTTTCCAACTCTAAATGCAGTTGTAAGGGAAAAAATAAAAACAAAATAAACAACTTCTATGTTGTTGTTTATAAAAACAACAGAATAGGGTATTCAGTTTTAAATGCACGGGCACTTGCAAATTTAATTTAAAAATTGATTTCGGGATTTTTATTATTTTTTCAAATAAGTTAAAGAGTTTCTTATCGTGCTTTCAACCCCAATTTTTAAATAAATTCATTCAGAGGGAATTTAAAAATCAATAGGAATTGTTGAAATTTATTTTAATTCAATTTGTAACAGATTGAATGCAAACAAAATTAATTCATTCAGAAGGAATTTAACATTCTATAGGAATTTATTCATTAGAGAATTAATTCAACTACATCGAAAGCTTTAAGAATTAATTCTAGTAATTAAATCAAAGGCAATGCGTTTGAAGAATTGTTAATTCTTTAAAATATAACTCAATTTCAAAAAAAGAATTAGGGAATGAATTCTTTTAGAGCTTTGCTTATTGATATGAAATAAGTAAGTCAGTTAGGTCATAACTAACGTGACCAGACGGTTTTGGAATAAAAGCGGGATCTGAGTGTTAAAAAGGCGGATTTGAATGAAAATATATTGAAAAAGCGGGATTTTGAAAATTGTCATTCATTAAATCCGGATTTAATAAAACTTAAGACGTACATATGTACATATATCGATATTAATATTAATTTTTAGAAACAAAATATTTTTTTTATGAGCGGTCAATTGAGGTCAATTATGAAATTCGATAGAGAGATTTTGGCTTGTAAGAAACTTACTTCTATATATCGAATTTCATAGCTAAACTCGCATTTTTAAGTCAGTTCAAGTCATTTTCTGAAGGGGGCCTTATATGGGGAGTAGAGTCAATTGTGGACCGATCCTCATAAAATTTGGTAGAGAGATTTTAACTCACAAGAAACTTACTTATGTTGAATTTCTGAACTAGACTCGTATTTTTTAGCGAGTAATGGGCGTTAAAGTAATTTTTTGGAGGGGACAATATATGAGGGGTAGGGACATTTATGGACCGATCCTCATAAAATGTTATTTATTTTCCACTTTTATGGGGGCTATGCGAAAACGTGGACCGATATTCCCCATTTTCAATACCAAACAAACCTTACATATAAGAAATAATTGTGGAAAATTTATTTCTAAAAACTCTCTAGCTCTTTCCGATCGTGCTTTCAACAGACAGATAGACGGACGAACAGACATGGCTAAATCGTCTTAGAATTTGATAAGGACCCAGAATATACATATATACTTTTGAAGGTGGCAATAAAATTCTGATATGATAAAAAAATTCTAATGCCAGATTCAAATTTTAAGTAGCAATCCTTCATTTCGATTTATAAAACTTTTTGTTGGCCTGTGTTATTAAAAAATCAGTATAAATTAAACTTCTTATACAGCATTTTTCATATGTTCCTCGAGAATTCTGCCTAAAATCTAGGAAACATAGTGTATAAGAAAAATTCGATAAAATCACTCTGAAATATTAGTTAAAAAAACAAAACAAATCAGAATGGGGCCACAAATAGAACTATTTTTTTCTCCTGTTTGTTAAATATTAGTGTGTTCTGATAGATGAGATACATAGTCACTTTAAGTGAGAATAAATTCAATTTTCCGGCTTTATAAGTTAAAAGTCATGGGTCCAAAAAGTCAATGTTCACTTGTCACTTAAAATAACAATTTTTTAGACCATTAACTTTAAAATCAACTTTGTTATTTAAAAAGTGGATGTCTACTTTTACCCACATTTTGAAAAATTATTAAAAATTACTAGAATAAGTATTTTTTTGAATCTCTTTGTCTGTTCAATAACTAAAAGTTGTTACTAATTTTCACAAAAATATTTGAAATTTATATTGAAATACAAAACCAGTTTCTGATAATTTGTAACAAATTGTTGTTAATGAACAGACATTATATTTTCTAACAAAATTTCTTAATTTAAAGTTTCATTTTTAAACTTTTAAATAGTAAATCCCAAATTGATTACAATAAAATTAAGGACAATTGACCTGTTAAAAGCGGGATTTGTAGCAAAAAGCGGGATTTGTTATTAAAAAGCGACCTGTTAAAGCGGGATTTGTAGCAAAAAGCGGGATTTGTTATTAAAAAGCGGGATCGAAATCTAAGTCGGGATCAACCTTTAAAAAGCGGGATAATCCCGGATGTCTGGTCACGTTAGTCATAACAGTACTTGAATGTTATACTTTACGTTCTAACAAACTTTTTTATTGTACATCGCTTAAAAATACCAATATTGCGATAAAATTCGACATAATGAAGTTTTATAAGTTGGAAACAAAATCTATTTACTAAATTTGCGACTAGGATCATTATTAGATCCTAGCCCCAATGCTTTAAAGGAACCAACATGTATCTACTCATTCCTATAAGATTAAGTCCATTATTGACCATTCTTTCTATATCAATTAAAATAGTTTTAAATAATAACCCCCTTATTCATAAACAACATTTTATTTTCTGAAAGGTTTATAAAACAAAATTTCCATACGAAATTTGATTTATAAATCGTTTGTAAAATAAAATTGTGTTTATGAATAAGGGGGTAAAAAAATAACATTTGCTGCTAGAAAATGTTTAAGTGTTTCAAAACGATAGAAAAAATATAAATTGAATAATAACAGTTACGAACAACATTTGTTTTTTTATGTTGCCTAAACATTTATTGTGTAACTTTTAATTTTATTTCTTAAAAAGGGCAATTTTTTGGATTTCTAAAATTTTGATAACAGTTATTTTAGGTCCTTGGTATGTTTCAAATTTATTAGAGACGAAGATCTTTTTATATTTAAACCATAATATAACCTCGTAAAAGTATATGGTTTTTAAATGTAATATGCACGTAGTGCTTGTGTCGTAGACAAATCAAATGTGATTTATAATGTCAAACGAAACAAGCATACATTTGGTGGCAAACAATATTTAAGCACCGTTAGCGGTTTACTCTTTAGAATCTTCCAACAAAGTTGCAATAAAGTTTAACTTTATAAGATTCTAACGTTGTTATAAAAAGTATTACAAAAATGTAGTTACATCAATTTCAACTTAAACAAAAGTAATTCAAAATGAGTTTTTGGTATTTAAAAAAATTTTCAGTTTTTATCTGTGTTATGTCATTTCATACCAAAATGGACGTATAATTTAATAATAATAAATATTTATGTTTTCAGGAAAAAAAGGAAAGAAAAGTAAAGGTACCGTCATATCGTTACAATCATTTTTGTCGAATGGTGATGTTCCAGCAGGAACAACACAAGTGGCTAAAAATATTAGAAATGTTGATGGAGAAGACAGTGACGACGGAGGAAAAGTTCTTACAGTTGTTTGTCAACTTCCAACAGCTCCTCGCGCAAATAGAATATTTGATGATAATTCTATACCTCATAAAGCACCATTTATTGCCTATGTCACTAATTTGCCCTTTGATGTTAAAGAGGATGATATATATGAATATTTTAATGCTAATAATGTTAAGTCAGTAAGACTTCCACGAGAGGACGGAGAAACTGGCAGAGTTCGAGGATTTGGTTATGTGGAGTTTGAAAGCAGAGATGATTTAATACATTCTTTAGGTATACCAGATCCTACAATAAAAGGTCGCAGAATCAGAATTGACTTATCGAATGAAAATGAACAAAATTCAAGACAACGTGGAATGAGAAGAGGCTACGATACCGTCAGTAGTAATGTAGAAGGAAGGGAATCAACTAATTGGAGGCGCGACAATAACCAAAAGCGGGAGTCATACAACTTTGGTAATGAAAGGAACTCAAATAGAGATCAAAAGTCTACATCTGATGATTTTAATTCACCTGGCTCATGGCGTCAAAAAAATCCATCTAATTCAGCAACAGTATCATCTCCTGATCAAATTCATCAAAAAGATCGATATGCTTCTCAAGAAGAAAAAAATAGTACATCCGAACGACCAAAGCTAATGCTGAAGCCTCGAACACTGCCACTTCCAGAACTCGATGTCCAATTGCAAGTCCCTTTAAAATCCAAAGTTAATGATAATTCTAAATTTACTGGAACATCGGCAGAAAAGGTTTTTGGATCAGCAAAACCTGTTGATACTACGGCAAGAGATTTAGAAATTGAAGAACGCTTGGCAGATGTTCGTCGTCAAGATAATCTAAAGAAGGATGTTATAAAAACTACAAATGATTTCAATGAATTAAATATTGCAATAAATGAACAGGTTACAAACCTTGATCAAAACTGGCGACAACAATGTACAACCGATGACAAGCATGACAAGAAATATTTAAGAACAGGTAAATGAGACATTGTTAAATAAACATTTACGGTAATGCAATATTTGTTCAAGATATTTGTTTGTTAAGTGCTAAAAATAAAAAAATGGATGAAATTTTGTATATAGTTTCATTGGTTTTTTTGTTATTCACTTTTTTCGAAATCTATATCCGATTTCGATATGTGCAGCTTATTTTTAAAAAGAAACATTTACGGAAATCCAATATTTTTTCACGATATTTGTTTGTTAAGTGTTAAAAAAAAAACTAATGGAATTTTGTATATAGTTTCATTGTTTTTTTTGTTATTAAATTTTTTTCCAAATCCATATCCAAATCCGACTGTTCAAAAAAATAGGAGTACGGTATATTCTCTAACCTAAGTTAGATTAATTTCTTTATTCGTAGTATATATTAAAAAGATAATATAAAAAATAATATAAAAAAGATAAAATAAAAAGTAATAGTGTGGATTACTGTAATTTATTAATTGGCCAATAAGGCTTACAAATTACAAATGAAATAAATAAAATAAAATACACTCTTATATTTAAATGATTTTAAGCAATTTTAAGCACAGTTCGCAATTATTTCATTTAAAATACTGAAAGAAAATGTCAGAATTGACGAAAAAATCTGTTCAAATATCTTAAAAATATCACGAAAAGAAAAATGAAAAATGTAGTTATTAAACATCGTCACAATATTCATCACATGTACTTATCTTCATGTGAGGCAGACGTGTTTTTTTACTCGCCCCGCGATTTTATTAATATATATATATAAATTTATAAGAGTGCTTCAAAAAGATACATCTATATAGTATTTAAAATTTTTAATTGTTATTAAAAATATCAAAAAAAAAAAAATAATTTGTTTAGAAAGTGTGTGTGTGTTCATTTAATTTCCACAAGTTTTATTTAATATTAAGAGCATATGAATTCTCAAAATGAGAACAGGTTCAGTTTAAACGGCAGAAATGCCTACATATTTCTCAACGGGGAGGGAGCAACAAGTGTAAACAAAAATATAAATGATCCAAAATACAACAAAGATTACTTAACCGCCAAACCAATTGAGTGAGCTCGCTCTTCAGTAGTAGTAATGTAGAAGGAAGGGAATCAACTAATTGGAGGCGCGACAATAACCAAAAGCGGGAGTCATACAACTTTGGTAATGAAAGGAACTCAAATAGAGATCAAAAGTCTACATCTGATGATTTTAATTCACCTGGCTCATGGCGTCAAAAAAATCCATCTAATTCAGCAACAGTATCATCTCCTGATCAAATTCATCAAAAAGATCGATATGCTTCTCAAGAAGAAAAAAATAGTACATCCGAACGACCAAAGCTAATGCTGAAGCCTCGAACACTGCCACTTCCAGAACTCGATGTCCAATTGCAAGTCCCTTTAAAATCCAAAGTTAATGATAATTCTAAATTTACTGGAACATCGGCAGAAAAGGTTTTTGGATCAGCAAAACCTGTTGATACTACGGCAAGAGATTTAGAAATTGAAGAACGCTTGGCAGATGTTCGTCGTCAAGATAATCTAAAGAAGGATGTTATAAAAACTACAAATGATTTCAATGAATTAAATATTGCAATAAATGAACAGGTTACAAACCTTGATCAAAACTGGCGACAACAATGTACAACCGATGACAAGCATGACAAGAAATATTTAAGAACAGGTAAATGAGACATTGTTAAATAAACATTTACGGTAATGCAATATTTGTTCAAGATATTTGTTTGTTAAGTGCTAAAAATAAAAAAATGGATGAAATTTTGTATATAGTTTCATTGGTTTTTTTGTTATTCACTTTTTTCGAAATCTATATCCGATTTCGATATGTGCAGCTTATTTTTAAAAAGAAACATTTACGGAAATCCAATATTTTTTCACGATATTTGTTTGTTAAGTGTTAAAAAAAAAACTAATGGAATTTTGTATATAGTTTCATTGTTTTTTTTGTTATTAAATTTTTTTCCAAATCCATATCCAAATCCGACTGTTCAAAAAAATAGGAGTACAGTATATTCTCTAACCTAAGTTAGATTAATTTCTTTATTCGTAGTATATATTAAAAGGATAATATAAAAAATTATATAAAAAAGATAAAATAAAAAGTAATAGTGTGGATTACTGTAATTTATTAATTGGCCAATAAGGCTTACAAATTACAAATGAAATAAATAAAATAAAATAAAATACACTCTTATATTTAAATGATTTTAAGCAATTTTAAGCACAGTTCGCAATTATTTCATTTAAAATACTGAAAGAAAATGTCAGAATTGACGAAAAAATCTGTTCAAATATCTTAAAAATATCACGAAAAGAAAAATGTAGTTATTAAACATCGTCACAATATTCATCACATGTACTTATCTTCATGTGAGGCAGACGTGTTTTTTTACTCGCCCCGCGATTTTATTAATATATATATATAAATTTATAAGAATGCTTCAAAAAGATACATATATATAGTATTTAAAATTTTTAATTGTTATTAAAAATATCAAAAAAAAAAAAAAATAATTTGTTTAGAAAGTGTGTGTGTGTTCATTTAATTTCCACAAGTTTTATTTAATATTAAGAGCATATGAATTCTCAAAATGAGAACAGGTTCAGTTTAAACGGCAGAAATGCCTACATATTTCTCAACGGGGAGGGAGCAACAAGTGTAAACAAAAATATAAATGATCCAAAATACAACAAAGATTACTTAACCGCCAAACCAATTGAGTGAGCTCGCTCTTGTTCCCCCGTTATAAACTTTCATGAGAATAATATTACACAAACCAGGGATGGCAAAATTGGTACGATGGTACTTTTTTTTGATACTATTTGATGTTCAAAAGTACCGTTGTACTCCCGAGTCTTATTTGATTCTCTCAGGGCCACAATCACAATATCCGATTTTCGTTTAACAGATAGATAAAGAATTTTTTTATGAAAACCTTTAATATATCGTTTCGATAAAAAATAACAGGTTAAAGTATATTTAAAATTTTAAATTCCAAGAGTGTTTTACACTTTAAAATATGCATGTAAAATTACTATTACAAAGTATGTAAGTTTTTTGCGCAAATTACAGAAGATGCGTAAGTTTAAGCATAAAATGTTTATAAGAATTAATTACAACATTATGCCTGCAAAACTACAAATAAAATGTAGTATTTTGGTTATTCATAAACATGTTTCCAATAAAATAAACATTTCGACTTTATAATTACACATGTTGTGTTTAAATTTTATATTTTAGCCCCAATGTGTGTAATTTTAATTTAGACGAGTAATATTGAAATGTCAAACAATTTTTAAAAAAATAAAATATTTCAACAAATAAAACATTTTCAATAAGATTATGTTAAGAAGCAATAGAAAAAATAATACAAATAGCAAAAATATTCAAAAAATTGTATTAATTTGGTCCACTTAAATCGACAATGAACTAGTCCAAGACATCGCTCAAACAAATGCTGCATTATGCTGTTGTCAAGTTTGAATGAAGAAGGATATTTGAATAAAAATCCAATTAATGTGCGTGCTCCGTGGCTACATTTGGTTCCCATTGGTTTCTTCCAATAGAACATTAAATAATGAATATTTAATCCATCCACAAATATGCGAATATTCAAGATTCCTCAATATTTACTATATAAAGATAAAATTTACATTAAAATCCATTTAAATACGAAAGTGCATCAAGTAAATGAGATCTAAAGATAATTCTTTTGTAATTTTAAAATTAAATAAAGCATTCTTTCAAAATAATTTTAATATGTTTTAATCTTTTGAATAGAAAGTGATACATTAAAGGTTTACATTTCTATGTACAATTAAACAATTCAATATTAAACTTACATGTAAAAATGTTTTATTTAAACACAAAAAATTTAAATTTACACGATTTTGGAATGTTGCTAAACATTTTTATAAATACAAAAGGGTAAAAACACACATTTTGTATCAAAGGATTTTACATACAATGTGTTTAAAAATTTTGAATATTTTTGAACATGTATTTTTACACTAATTATACTAGGAGTCTGGTTACCTACAATAAATAGTGTAAATTTAAACAAAAATGTATAAGAGTGTAGCACATTGTTATATAAATTCTCAAAAATGCATCAACTAAAAGCCGTTTTTTCTAAAAAAACTAATAATAAAATTATAAACGGCTAATAAAGTTGTACATATTTTTATATTGATTGACATTATATGAATATTAATCTTATTAAAATTTCACTGTTAATATTTTATGAGAAAATTACCAGAAATTTAAATTTTTGAAATAATATTTGACTTTAAAACAAATGATTTCCAAACGATAGGAACTCGAAGGATTCAATCTACTATAAAACGATATGTTTTGAAACTAAGCATTTAACCAAAGATAATATAAGAAGTTTTAGGTCAAAAATATTTGGACTTTTAAGCAAATTATTGTTTCATGTCATATTCATAATCGGATGTACGAGTAAATATCCTATTTAAGGTCCCACGACGGATTTTAATTCAACAACACATATTTAAGCGATTTATTGACAATGAACAGTCGATACTAATACTTGTAGCTCAATTATTAGCATTAAGTTGAAATTCTAAATTCGTCCTTTTATAGGGCGAAATGTGGCCTAACTTTAATTAATGCCGGATTTATTAAAATATAATAAATTATATCATGACAGCTTTAAATTTAAGATATTTACATAGTACAATATCTGGCTAATATTTGAGATGTAAAAAGGTGAACATTGAGGGACGGACAAGGATACATCATATTAACATATAATGCCTTTCTACTTCTGTTATGGATTGTTTAAAAAAAATAAATGTAGTTAAGAAATTGCCATCATTTAGCAAAAAAAATATTTTAGTACTTTGAGATCCAAAAAAGTACCCTCTGAAATATTTTTTGATACTGACACAAAATCTCATTTTCCATCCCTGACACAAACAATAACACCTATTAATTCTTGTTTAGAACAAAGCATAAAAGAAAATAATAAAAATATATGTGTACAACAACCACATCATCAAAAAAAACAACAGATTCAACACACATGCCTGTGATAATCCACAAACAATATCTAGTGAGAGCTTAACAGTTTTTAACACTAAAGAGGCCGATCGTAGTAGCAACAATACACTGATGATGGTTATAGAAAGATCTCTCAATACCTAAACGAAAGCAAGGAAAACTTTTATACGTATCAGCTAAACCGCAGTAAAGGTTTAACAGTAGTTGTCAAAGGTATAGAGTCCACTGTTGATTCAAATGATATTAAGGTGGCCCTGGAAGAATTGGGCTATCAGATAAAAACTTTGTCAATATCTTTAATAAAGGTAAAGTTCCCCAGCCAATGTTTAGAGTTGAACTTGAACCCGAAGATGCAAAACTAAAAAGAAAAGAAACATCCTATATACTCTCTCAAATATTTGTGGAATCGGAGAGTCAATGCAGAGAAACCGCTTAAGAGAAGTCAACCGGTTCAATGTAGCAATTGCCAAGAGTTTGGACATACAAAGAATTATTGTACCTTAAGAACTGTGTTGCATGTGGATACCTTCACTCTTCGTCACAATGTGACATAATAAAAAATGCTAATTACCGTGGTTGCCCTGTATATAAAGTGTTACTAAGAAGACTAAGAGAGAGATACAAAATAAACTGAAAGGTGAAATTGTAGACTTTCCTACAAAAAATATTAATCTTGCTAATGAATCAAACCCAAGAGTAGATCTTCCAAAGATCTTCCAGCTACTGTAAATTCGAAACTAAACAACCAAATGAACACAGAATATTACCTCTCTTAATCGAAACATGACAAACTTCATGTCATCCATGCAAAGCACAATACAAGAACTCTTGAGAGCGCAGAATCAAATGATTCAAATTCTATTAACTAGAAAATGAGTTATTTAAAAATGTTTCTGGAATACAAACGGTTTAAGCCAACATCAGTCGGAAATATCCCACTTCATGATAAATAAATGCATTGATGTTATGTTAATATCAGAAACTCACCTTACAAATAATAAACATATATTGCCCACCGCGCTTTTCAATGACCAAGGAAAAATTTGAAGCATTAGGAGATCGGTTCTTAGTTTGTGATGACTACAACGCCAAACATACATACTGGTGTTCACGATTAATAAACCATAGAGGTAGACAGCTGTACAAATCTTTATTTGATCCCAATAATTGTTTGGATTTCATATATCCAGGTTATCCTACTTATTGGTCAACAGATCCTAAAAAAATTCCCGATCTTATAGATTTTACCATATATATTAGTAGAAATTCAGTAGAGATTCAATTCAGAAATCTCCTATGATTTATCTTCTGACCACTCTCCTGTAATAGTAAATTACTACAGAAAAAGTGAAATAACAGGCTCGTTGTATTTTAAGACAAATTGACTAAAATATAGGAAATATATTAGTAGTCATATCCACACTAATCCTAATTTACAGTGTGAGGAAGATCTAGATAAATACATTAGTGTCTTCACGTCACTGATGTCTTCGGTTTACATCATTATAAGTGCCATATTACCCCAAAAACTAATACGCTTATATGATGAGAGTGGCAACAAAATATATCTCCTGCTCCAAAGCAGAGGCTATCTACTACTACAAGGAGACTGAGAAGAGCCCTTCGATTAGAAGATG